GCATGTTAGGGAAGGCTTGGAGATGTGGCCATCTCATTGCTCAATCGGTAAGTCCCACCAGTTGGATGTTTTAAGCTAACCCTCCTACAGCTTTTGTTTTTCTTTCCTAAATTGATTTCGGAGGTGGGTTAGCCTTCTTTCTTTTTCATTTCTTTGTTTTTCGATTCACTTTCCTTGCTTCTTAGTTTGGGTTTTAAATGCTTATGTCTGAAACATAAGTGCATTCGTATAGCTATAGTTACATGTGAAACCATCAAGCAAGGTCGTAAATTGGACGGTCGTTTTTGGGGTATTAGTCCTTGATGATAAAGGCATTCGGTGATAGAGCAGAATAAAGTTTCATCCTACAACATCGGGACCCAATTTCGGGACCCGGTGAAACATAGGATAACGATATTATTTACCGACACTAAACTAGCAGGGCACCCTTGCCTTCTTAGCTTATTGGTGGTCCTAGCCCCAGAGGTGCGATTAATTTGTGGATAATCACATTTTCAATATAAGAAAATGATAAGAGCAGATATTATAAGAACAAATACGCTACTTTCAAAATATTTTGACTACCAAAAATTGTACTACTTTTCTTTTATGCATGAAACTCATATATACATGCCAAAATATAAATCTTAAATAACAAAATTTGATTGTCCACCTGTCAATCGTCGGTATTGGGCTAAAGAGTACCCATCGGAGTTGGTATAGTATGACACATTTTTAGTTGAATGTCGGGCTCTATACATGCGGGTGACCGGTAGTTGCCTTCGGAGTCCCTCGAGAATACCTAATTCTGAGTCTAGCCTGACCCGAATGCTTACGGCTTTCTTTCTTTCTTTGGATGTTTGGGTGTTTTCCTACTTTTTTTTTATCGAAATTGGATTTTTATGTGTTTTCTTACGGTTTTATCAAATTTTTTTGTAAAACACTTGTGATTTCCTTTCTTCGAATTTTCCTCGTGTTTTTCGACAGTTTTCTTCGAGTTATTTTGGATCATCTGCCGCCTTTTCTCGAGTTCTTTCAGGAGTTGCCGACCCGTCAGGTATACAGGTTTGTTTTACATTTACAACGTTTACTTTTGCTACTGCACGCTTTCTTGTGTATACACATAATTTATGTCTGTAATACTATTGTTTACTGTTTACTGTGCCACATTGCATGTTCCCTTTTATAATTAATGTTGCTTCTAAAGACTTGCAGGGGACTTTTAGGTTAGAGGCCAGTAGGACACTCAGTTTGGAAGGTACCCTGTAGCGAGTCGCTGACCCAATAATTGTACATTTATACACACCATAACCTTGAGCCTATAATCGATATGTTAATGAACTTAGAGTTTAGGTTAGTCTTACCAAGAAGCGGAGCGTGGAAGCAAGCGGACGGAGGGAGACGATCGAGACCGCGATGACGGGTGTAGGATGTCTCCTTAGAGTTAAGGTCCAATCGTAGAATAGTTGGGAAGTCACCGGGGTTTTCCCTGAATCTGTGGCATCCCCTATCTTTCACTCCATTGACTCATGAAAATAACTGTTCATTTTTTAAGTCATTCCCTTTTGATTTTCTTCTATTTAACCTTGGAAACATAAACTTTGTAATCTTGAAGACAGAACCACTGATTTTAATCGAGAGTGTTCTTAAGTGATTTCAATTATTTAAGATGTAATTAACTATAAGGGTTTGTCTCTATAAAAAACTTAAGAATTCAATTTAAAATAAAACCTATTTAATCTCTCGTATTAAATAGATAAACTTGTCGGTCAACATAAAGGTTCGCAAATTAAAACGGATGTCATAAAATCTTTAGTTTATTTAATCGAACCGCATTAGTAAGTACTATGTCTGTTCCTCTGGATAGATGTATCGCTTACCGTGTTATGCTCAATCATTTAAACTATTGCAGATATGAGATCGGTTCCGTCTTGCATTTCAAAAATTAAAATATTAAATCTTTTCAAATTATATATATAAATTAAATTAAACCTCTTTTAAAATCGGGCATCGGGATATCCATTCTGGCGGCCGATAATTTCTAATTTGGCGACAGACAATGACCAGTGCTCTCTTTATGATTTTCGGATAAGGATGGTAAATATCTACAATGTTGGGTGGTGGCAACTGTATCCGCCCATTGTTGGTGGCGACGTCTCGGGTCTCCTCCCTTCATCAATCCTTCGGGTAGTGATTTATGTATCTCAATCAATTGCGAGAGTAGGAAACTCTTATATCTTGTATCTTTTATTTGATTATGCATCTCTTCTTTGTTCTGGTTATTTTTTTCCTTCCACGGATTGTATTTTTGGTTATTCTTATTGAATCTTCTCCAAATCCCCCTTCTGGTATTAACTGGCCTCACATACTATTATTCTCGTGCTATTCCACAACCATCTCCTCATTAGATTTGCTTCCTAAACACATAAGTTTTAACTAATACTCTAAAACAGTCATTGAAATTGCATCAAATTTTTATCTTAAAGACCCTTACAAGAATTAAAATGTTTTCCAAGTTTCTATGGAATAAACTCAATTTGAGATGATCAATGATGGAACTTCATACTTCATCAACACAAAGCAAAAACAACTTGGAGGTATCCTCTCCAACTAAAATTCTTTTTCATTGAAGCAATCACCATCATTTTGCCTGACTTGTCAACAAAAACAAAATAGCAATCATAACCACTTTTGTAAAGGAAAGGCTAATTATAAAGTTCATGGAAATGATCAAACATGGTTGGGTAGTGTGGGTGTGCAATCTCGCAATTCAAATTTACATTTTTGGAGCATTATAGAGAACTAATCCCTAAACAAAATGTCTCTACCCTTGAGTTGTAAAGTTCTAACATGCACGCTTACTACTTGTTCAACTCCAATTCTTTGAATCATAGAAATATCAATCTTGAAATATAAATCTTTATACTCCTCGTGGTATAGTGGCAAGATATGCATAGTTAACTTTGTACTCCTCGTGGTATAATGGCAAGATATGCATAGTTAACGAACAATGTGAGATGGTTTTAGTTAGTGGACTCGACATAATGGCAGTCATTTTGTTTTGTACGCACTCTTGTACTTAAACACAAGATTAATAGTTTTAGATGTTCCATCCACTTCATATGCTTAATTGTGTAGCTTAGACTTGAGTCCACATATGATGTGTAGATAGTTGTGTTTCTTATTCTCCTCAATGATTTGGGAATATTCTTGATATAGATCTTGAGGATTTTCATCATCCACGAACCAGAAAATTTATCAAGAATAATAAGTACAACTAATATAAGATGTCAAGTCAATATCTATATCAAGAATATTCCCAATGGTGTCTTAGATGTCAAGACATCATAAATACATTGACGTGTTTACTTCCTATTGGAATATATGAAGTACACATTAACCCACATTTTGGTTTCTCTTTTATTAAAGGTCTATCCACATCTTCATATTTTGTTTGACCATATTCTATTAGCTTGTGCATAATAGAAATGGCGGACTCATTATTGCAGCACATTCTCATAGGCCATTCTCATTTGATTTTTATTCCTTTAGTATAACTTCAATCCAAAAAAATTCACAAATACCTTAAAAAATTACTCCTAATTCATATTCAACACTTGACCATAAAATAACAAGTTGTTGTTTGCTTCTTCATATTACCATATTTCCTCCCAGTGGTATGCAATAACTTGAACTGGTTCTTCCACCCATTGGTGATCCCAAATAATCAACATTGTTATAATTTTCAATTTATAGTTCTTTCGATAAACCATTTTGCAGGATTTAATTTTAAATATCTAACTCTATAAATAGCTTAAAAGTGAGATTCATTTGGTACTTACCTAAACTGAATCATAAAACTTATACCAAAAGTGATACCAAGACAAGTATAAGATCGATAAATTAGATTTCTAAGTAATCCTTCGTATTGTCCAATCTGAACATCTGATCATTCTATCTTTGTGTCAAGTTTCTAACTTTTACTGTTAAAATTTCGCATGGATTGCAATCAATCATTTTTGTTGCTCCCAAAAAAACCTAAACATACTTTTATTGAGAATGAAAATTCCATTTTCTAACCTAGTAACTTCTATCCAAAGAAGTATTCGAGACTGCAAAGTTCTTTGATTTAAAACTTTGTAGTGAATATTATTTTAGGTAATTCCTTTTCTTTGTTGTCATCGCTAATAATAATTATATAATTAGCATACACGATAAAAAATAAAATTTTATATCAGCAGAAAATTTCATAAAAAGTGCACTACCTCCTTGACATTGTTTATATTCCCATTCCATTATAAACCTACCAATCATACCCAACATTCCATTATCTTGTTTATAATAGATGGAACTCTAAATGCCCCCACTTGAATAATCACATCAATTTATCCTTCCTAGTTTACCACACATAAACCTCGTTATTTTATTTTGCCTCGCTCAACTTGGATATCAATGATTTTTTTACTACAAACAATCAGACCCTCCAACGTAATTGCAAATTTTTAAATTTATCTTTTGTGTTTTCATGATACCCTCTTACTATTAATACCTGAGACACTTATCCCACTACAAACAAACTCCAATAGTATCTTTCTTTTTGTAACAATTTAAAAGCACAGTTACTCGCACAACAATATTTTGAACTTCTTTATTGCACACCGAAGCATCCTTACTGATGTATTGGTTATTTATAAGCTCTCATTCAACTTCAACATAAACCATCTTAGAAAATTTTGCCATTATTTACTTAGCATGGAAAAGCGCATGAGAAAAAAAAAATAACAATTTACTTCTAAACTGAGGCAAAAAATTTATTTAAATCTACAATATTGTTTGAGAAATTAAATCAATTAGGAAGCAAAACAGAGGAAGGAAATGCATTCATGGCCTTCATAACATGCATTAAGGAACAAGAAAGGCAAAATTACCTTCATAAAAATAGAAATGATCAGAAACTGCAAAATAATTCTAAGGAAAACGCATAATTGTTATCTAAATTGGACATTAAGCTAAAATCTTACCTTATCAAAATCCTTAACAACTTTGGCCTCTAGAGAAGAATTTTCTTCATACTCTATCCACAGCTCAAGCATTTCTTTGGCTGCAAAGGGATTCCATAAATCAGTCAAAATTCTAAATGTTAAACAATTTATTTTAAACATCCATAGCACCACCTGACCAAGAATAATGTTTGTCACTGACGGTATGAACGACCATTATTATTTTTGTATTATTACATTATGCATTTTGATGGCAGTTTAATTATGTCCTTTCAGTACATTTTTTATTAATTTTATTTAATCTTTTGAAGTTTAAAAGTTTGGGATCATTTATGAGAGTGTTTTCAAATATCCTTCTAAAAATGGACCTTTATACTTGCGAAGCGCCAGCTTAGGTTTGCCGGCATGCCATCACCTTTCAAGTGGATTGAATCAAAATTTGAGGGAAAAAGTCTTCTGAGTATTGATGGGTAATTATGTGTCATTTAATTCACGATATAGGGTATAGGTTAAGTATTTCCACAAGCCTAACTACCCCAAGCAAACTGTACTTCAAACAATTGATCACTTTTTAGTGATTCAAAAACTAGCTAGTAGATCACACAAAGGGGTATTGCAAAGATCTAGGATTTTATGAAATTGATCAAAATGTCAATTCTGGTTGTGAAAGTGAGAGAATGGATGTACCATATGTGCTTAAAAGACCAGTAAGCACAAAAGATAAGATTTCTATTTAGTGGATCCAAATGTCAATTCTAGTGGCACCAATAGGCTACAATACTGGTACCGAAACAACCCTCTTGTCGAGAACACTTGAATGGCACAAGAAACTAGCAGCATGAATGGTTGTAGGAGTCATAAATATTCCGGAAGAATGAAATTGTGAAATCTAAGGCGATTTATCAAGTTTGAACAAACTGCGTGTATTGTTGAAACTGGGGATTAATAAGATTTAGCCCCACAAAGGTAGTGAATGCGGTCGCCCTTGCCATGACCATTGATACCAGCTACAAGAAGGTGGAAAAAGGCCGAAGGGAGAAACAAGACCTGCTTTGCACTTATCTACTTAGATCAGCTAGTTTGGGCTCATCTGTGGACGAATTCAAAATGTTCTTCTCAATGTCATTGTAGATGTCGTGACAAAAGAAATATTTAACTATTGATTCAGCGGTTTTTTTATTCTTTAATAATTTTTTTGGGTTTTTTTTCAAACTTTTT